GAGATCGCTAATTTTAGCTCTTCTAATAAATTATTTTTATTTTAGCAATCATTAAAAAAAATTCAAGGTCTCTTTTGTCTGTTTGTTTTCTGATTATTGCTCCTTTTTAATAGGATTCTGTTTTTGTGGTACGGAAACAATATCTTTTTAATCACTCTGAGGGGACTTGGATTTTTAAAAAAATTGTAAATGATCTCTCTGAATGATTTCCTCTTTGGCATTAGTAACTGTTTATCTTGGTGTTTTTTTTTCCTTATGCTCCTTCGTATGTCAGGTTATTCTTGGTTATATATATTCCCACGGTGGCCTGTCTTGCACAGTTGGCTCTGTTTCATTAGTAACTGGCCTCCATTTTCCTATTCTGTTCTCTTCGGAATTCTTCCTATTCTTTGCATAATTTTACAGCCACTTACAAAGAGTTACAGCATAGACAGAAGGCAAAATGCTCGTGCTTAGTCTGTGATCTTTAATCCTTGATATTATTTTTTCATTTTGCACATTGGGCAGTTGTGTGCTAAATTTTATCAGCCACATTTTTCATAAAAAATACATAGATGTATGGAGAAGGATTTGAAAGCATTTATCACAAAATGGTAAACATAGGTTATATTTGGCTAGCGGGGTTGTGGGTAATTTTGTTTTCTTTTTAGCTGTACATTTTAGCATTTCCACAGTAGACACTATTATTTTCATAACAAACATAATAAAAATAAGTTGGAAGTGTTGGTAACAGGAGTGGAAGTTGCTCTCTGTTATCCTCAGAGGAGGAGTCTGCAAACACAGGAGACCCTCGGTGTTTGAGAGGAAAAGTGAGCGTTCTGTTGAGAGTCTTTGAGAATCCTAGATGCAAGGATGCTGCTCACTGAGAGACGGATGCGGGTGGGCTGCCTGACTGATCTAAGCTACCAGGTTTGTCTTTGTTTCACGCTTCACACACAACCTTAGAGGCTGTACCGTCTTCTCCACTGCCAGTTAAACACACCGGGCCCCTTCAGATTTGCTCCCCACTGGGAGGTGAGACCAAAACCGCCAAGAGTCCACTGCGGGATCACACAGCAATACCACCTACACGGGACCAGGCGGGGAACGACGATGACCGAGACGAACAGGTGGGTCTGTGCCGATCCAGAGAGCACTCGCCAGCCCAACGCGGCCAGCCGCTACGCAGCTCTTGCTGGTCGCTGGCTGCCATTTTAAGATTTTCCTTATACTGAGGTTCAACTGACATACAGTGAACTGCACAGATGAGGGTATGGTTTAATGAGTTCTACCACGCATTTCAGACTATCATAGAAACTTTTCTTCATCCAGAAATTTCCCTCATGCTCCTCCCCAGTCAATCCCGGCCACATCCCTATGTCAGGCAATTGTAGGTCTGATTTCTGTCACCATGGATTAATTCTGCCTATTCTAGACTTTCATTTACATAGAACATCCAGTTTTTTGTGTGTGTGTGAGGAAGACTGTCCCTGAGCTAACATCTGTGCCCGTCTTCCTTTATTTTGGATGTGGGACCCTGCCACAGCATGGCTTGATGAGCAGTGTGTAGGTCCACACCCAGGATCTGAACCCACAAATCCTGGGCCGCTGAAGTGGAGTGTGTGAACTTAACCACTACGCCACTGGGCCAGCCCCAACATCTCTCTCAATTTTAACATGTTGAAAACGAACACGAATTTTTATAAAACAATGTGCAGACTCAAGAAAACACGCAGGCCACACTGGCCCACCAGCAGTGCGACCATGTTGTGTTTGGGCTAGAGTATGAACCAAGAATACATTTTGCATAAATGTATTAATTTCTCTCATGATGTTGGGGTTGGTGCTACCTGACAGCTCTTATTCTTTAGCAGCTAGTAGTACATTCTTTACAAAGGAAGGGCAAAGCTAATCTTCAGGGCACCAAGAAAGCAAGGAGAACAGGAGACAGAATCCCACTGCACAGCCAGCCATGGGGACAAAGGACCTACAGGGAAAGAATGGGCAGAGGCTGACTTGGTGAGAGAGGGAAAGCTGGGGAGCATCCAAAGGGCAAAAGAAAGAAGAAATGGGGATCACAGGGCTGCTGTAAGAACCAGAAAGAAACCTCAACTTCATGTCACCTTACAAGTGTCCCACTGAAAAGGCCCTACAAGGCCCTACGTGATCTTCAGCACCTTCCCAAACTCCTGCCCCACAACCGCCCCTTTCTTTGCCGATTTCCCTTCTTTCTACTTCCCACCTCGTCACTCAGCTCCAGCCAATTGGACCTTCTTGCTATTTTGTGAATGTGCCAGGCACATACCTGCCTCAGGGCCTTTGCACTGGCTAGAAAGCTCCACCCTCAGACAACCTCATAACTTTCTCCATCACCACCTTCAAGTCCATGCTCAGTATCACTTTCTCGGGCCATCTTATTTTAAAAATTGCCCAACGAGCTCCTCCACTGCCTTCTTCTCCATTTCATTTTTCTCCATAGCATTCATGACCAGCTAACCCACACTGTATTTTACTCATTTTCTGTCTTCCTTCTTCCCTTCACGAGAATGAAAGCTACATGAGGACGAGTTCATCAGGCGCTTGTTGAATGAATGAGCGAATCAAGGAAGGAAGGAATGAAAACCCCTGGCAGCCCTGAGATGGTTAATAAAAGTGCTCAATAAAACAGGAAGTAGTTAAGAACATTTTATCATTTCTAATTATCTTGCAACATTTAATTATTTTGAGGAAGTAAAGATTCAAAAAGCAAACCACTGATAATCCTCAGCACCAGAACAACCACAGCTACACCTACTATCTTCAAAAATTAGATTCATGGGAGGACAAATGCTTATAAATAAACATATGACTGGGGGTTTGAGTTCAGTAATAGTTAAGTTTTTCATTAGATTTCAAGTTACGATGATAAATACCCTCTTTTCCTAGTATATTTATTCCTATCTTAATTCATTTTAAGAAGGAGGTAAAGAATAAATCACGAAATAAGAAAACAGCACGGGCCCAAGATTACTAAATCTTTGGGAACAATGATCGGTAATAAACATATAAAATGAATCCAATCCTAGAATTTTTCTAAGGGCAGTGAGTGCGACCAGCTGTAGAGTGTAGAGCAGTGGGGCTGAGCTCCGGCATCAGACCGTTGACACGAGGTAAGGGCAGCTCCTCTGAGACACAAAGGTGAAAAACTCTGCGGCCAATAGCTTTCTAGTCCAGAAAAAAATATTCCCCAACTCAAGACATTATTTAGAATTAAGTCAGGGCCTAGGATGGGTCAGCGCTGGACGAGACCAAGTAGGTGTGGGCTGCCAGTTCAGCCACAGAGACACCAGTCCACGCACCGTGGATGGAAGCCGGCAGGGAACACGCACGGATCGTGGGCCACAAGCCCACTTCACCAGGACCCGGCAGGTGGGATGCAATGATTTGGCTCAGTTTTGGAAAGCTTGAGAATTAACCTGCCGTAGCGATAAGACCAACAGCAGAGAGAAAAGAAAGAAAGAAAGTGTAGCTCCTTGCAATCCACAGGCCTCCTTCCCCTCGTTCTGTTTCCTCCTTAACGCCTTCCCATCCTTTTGTCAACTCACGTCCGTTCCTCTTTCACTGATCTGACAGTCACACACACACACTGTTTTTCCCCTTCTTCTGGGTGTTTTGGGATATGAAGGGCAGTAGGAGAAAAAAAGAGTAAGATAAACATAAATAAATTTTATGGATTATAATTTAGGAAGTTTTATCGTTAAACCTAAGAATAATTTTCAAAGTGTGAACATCTGCAGAGTTTACAGTGTAATGGCAATGAGATTAGGTCCCAACAAACGATGAAGGCAAACAGTGTGCTCTTTTTTCCCGTCCCAGTCCTGGTAACTCGATAGTCTCCAGCTACCTGAGAAGGCGTGAGGATCGCTGTTCATCTCGGTTTGGACACAGAAGATCACATTTCAGCAACGATCGAGGAGATCGTCCTGACCCCTTGCTGACACTTTTCTCCCCCACCCCTACAAGGCAGAGATCGCCTCCAGGAGAAAATTTCAGTAGACTATTAAACGCTGGCACGGACACCGAAAGAAGAGAGAGAATAATCTCTGGGGACCTTTAGGAACAGCTAATCATCTTGGACAGGCAGAGTTACAGCTAGTCCCGTCCATCAAAACGGACCAGGTATTGGGAACCGGCAAAGCACTACGGGAATACTGAGCCCGTGAGACGGCCAGCACCTTCCCTGAAGAAACTGAAATCGCTTGATTTGTACTGCTTCTCAGAAAGGCACGTTTAGGCTTGGTTACCCCTGGGTGTACCTAATACTGGGCCAGGCCACGGATAAAGGGGATCTGGCGGGTCTGCTTTCTATCTTTAGGTGACACAACCTTAGAATCAGCTCCCAGTGATTATTTCACAAATGATTCTCAATCTGGGCTGGATATTAGCGTTTCCCCTGGGGAGAGGGGGGTTTAAAAAATAGAGATGTCTGGCCTGCCCCAGTCCATTTACGTCAGAATCTCTGACCCAGTGTTTTTTTTCTTTTTTTATAAACTCTCCTGGTGGTTCAAATGCATGGAACCACACATTAGTATTTGAGAACCACTGATCCTATATGACACTTTCATTTTATACATAGAAACATTAAGGTCCAAAGAATTTAATTGACTTACTACTTTCCCAAGATCACATACCTAGTTAAAAGCAGAGATTGGATTAAAACTAGGATCTCCATTAATCTACTCATCCAATAAACACCTATCAATGACATTCTAGGGTTGGGACCAGCCACCTAGTTGTCACTCAAGAATAAAGTAAGTCAAAGCTGGTTCACATCTAAGGATCAATCAGGCTGGTCCTGATCCAAGTTAAAGGAGAGTAAGCTGTGATGGTTCTAGCATTCTCTCTCTCACCCTTTTCTTCCAAGTAGTGGTGTGTGAGTCAGGCCTCTGGAAATGTTAAGGAATCCTGTGGTCCAGGTAAAGTCCATCACTACCTATGACCCACTCTCCCATTTCATTAGTGCCAGGGGCCCCTCTATTTACCCAGATCCAACGTGCAGCACAAGGGGCAGGGGACAGGAACCCCAGATGGAAGCTGAGTGCAGTTCGGTGAAACCTTGATCAGTGGGGCTGAGCTGGAGAAGGGGGAGCTCGCTCCTCGGCCCTAGGTACAGAAGAAAGGAAAGTTAACCTAGCAGGTGCTGGTTTGTCCTTTGAAAGAAGTTACGTCCAAAATATTTCATAATGCTCTCCATTCATTCTCTCCCAAGACACAACTAGAGCCATCACGGTGGTTTACAGTGAATACGGTCATTATATGACATACATCTTCTTCCCAAAGGTGAACTACTAGTATGTGTGCGTATGAGAGAGTGAGCAAGTTCATATTTTGAACTCAACCATTCCCATGTTTAACAATTCACAACTACAAAAGTTGGCACGTGAGAAACTGTGCTGAATGGGGCATCCGTCCTAAGAGAAAAATCATCTCAGAAGCACTTTGCTCAAGGAGAACGAGAAAAACTGAAAAGTGAGATTCATAATATTCAGGATGAAAGCTGATCTTGACCAACTAAAAAATGAGTAGGACTAATCTCTCTCAGTCTTTTACAAATAATACAATTATTACTGCCCATTCACAGAACACTTACTCAAAAGGCCAGGTGTCTATTCCATTTAAAAGTAAGTTAAATTATATCCACTCAGTTTGTGGATTTACCCACATCCTTGCTTCACTTCCATTTTCTTCTATCTACCTACCCGTGACTAATGGACTGTCCCGTTCTCAGGCGACGTCTTACACCTGGGCACCATAAATCCTCTGAAAGATATACAACACTTTGAATGGGTACGAATTTTTTCTGGGGCTAAAGTCCCTAGCTTTGACCAGATTTTTAAAAAGACCTGTCCCCTCTCAAAAGCCCCTTAGAATACCATTGTTTTCAAGGGTGATAAATGGGAGATGATGATGTTGAGGTCGTTGGTATCCACAATGAGAGATTTATGAAATTGGCCTCTGGAACTATCTTCCCAAAGAAGGACTGAGAGATTTCATGAAATTGAATCTATCCTCCAGAATGGTGGGTTTAGATACAACATACTTTGGGAAGCACCAGAGGATTAAATTTATCCATGCTAACTTTGTCTTCTTTCGTGCAAGATTTGACTAGTTTGAAAGCAAGGGAAAGGAAAATCATCGTCTCCTCCTTTTTCTGGTTGATCCTGACTTTATTAACTCCATGATAATGCAAACACTAGGGAAGATGGACATATCTTGTTATTTAGTTATATCTCCCAGAAAACCTTTTACTTCGGAATTTCTACAATGCAGACTACCTGCAATGGTAGAAAAATTACAAAATGATTAGGATACCAGGGGACACACGTGGCGTTTAGGATGAGAAGAAAACGCAACTGTTTTTGATTTTCAGTTGAACAGATGGTGCACACCTGAAGCTACTCCTCACAAGTCAGTCCACTGTGGGTGATCCTGTTGTTTTAACAGGAAGATTCCACCGTCTTCTATCCTTCTACAGCTCTCAGCAGAGCGCCTCATCCAGGGAGGGTGCTCAGAGACTTGCTGGATCAAGTCAGTTCTTTTGGTATCGCTCATAAATTAATGAGGAATGTGTAACTCTGTATAGTTTCACAGTAGTTAGAGAGAGAGAAAAAAAGAAATGCTATGTAACAGAATTGGGGCTTTGGGTGATACTTAGTAGACTAGAATGCTTTCCAGAAGTGCACTTAAGATATCAGCCTTAGCAACCTTACCTCGAAATTCTCCACCCTAAGTGTCTTTCTAATGCAAATTAGCTTGAATTTCTCTCTCGGCCTCCTGTCCCCTGCTTGAAAGTTTTCCCGAAACAAAGAAATACTACGGTGATTAAAAGGGTTGCCTGGCAAAAATCGAACTTCAAATTTCATTTCAAAAAGGCTTAGACTTCCTATAGCATGCTTCAACCCCCTCTCCAATTCCGACCTTACCTTAGATTACGCATTTATATCTAATACACGTGGTTCTCGTTCTTCAGGCAGGAAAAAGCTGAATCTCAGTCCTTCTCTCTCCCAAATTGCCATTCTGGTTGTTATGAGAGTCTCCATTCTTGTTTTAACGTTTCTAGACCCCGGATTGCCAGCACTGGACTCACGGTGGCGAGGGATTTCCTCGCCTCCCCCACAGCCCGCCTGCCTGCGCCCTGATCAGCTCTCTACTAAACACAAACCCGGCCTGGCTTTGAGTCCAGAACCTCAGACCCACCCTCTGCTGGGCCCCTCGGACGCTCTGCAGGCCGGAGGCCGCCGCTGCCCGAGCCGGGGGTTCAGGCGGCCGGGACCCGGCGGGGAGGGGCGTCCGAGCGCGCCCTGGCGGCCCTGCAGGCAGCGCCCGGTCTCCGGGGAGCAGGCAAAGGGGATCACCGAGGGTTGGTTTTTTACATCGGTTGGGATACGGAGAGGCTGCACCTGAGAGGCCGCCGTGACAGCGCGGGGCAGGGATGAGAGTGTTTGGGGCGCTTGGGAAGTTACGAAAACCAAACTGCAAAGAGCAAAACTGCAAAACCAAAGGGACGCAGACGTCTAGCAAAGATGCAAACGTCTAGTAAGAAATCGAGGCTGGAGCGGCCGGGGGTAAGTGATGGGGGCTGGCCGAGGGAAGCCCCTCCGGGGACTCGCCCCGTCCTGGTTCAGAGACCGGGAGAGTGCGGGCCCCTCCAGGGGCGGACCGTCCGTTTTCAGAAAGGAGTTTCAGAGGAGGGAGAGAGACCATGCAGACACCGAGCCGCCCGGAGAGGCGGCCGCACCGCGAGCCCCGGGGCCCTCTCGCGGGCCACGCGGTCAGCCCTCCGGGTGCCCGCGCCGCTCCTCCCGGCCCCGCGCCCGAGGCCAGCCGCGCACTCACCGGCCGCCGCTGCGGGGCTGCCCTGGGCCGAGCCGCCGCCCCGCCGCGCTCCGGAGCCGCTGCCTGCTCGACGCCGCGCCGCTGGTCCCGGAGGCTCTCGGAGGGGGCGCCGGCCGGCAAACCAGGCGAGGAGCCAGCCCGCCGCCCGCAGCCCGCGGCCAGAGCCCGCCCCCGGAGCCCCGCCCCCGAACCCGCGTGGAGTCCCGAGGCCCCGCCCCGAGCCCCGAGCCCCGCCCAGAGCCCGCCCAGATTTCCGAGGCCCGCCACCCCGCCTCGAGCCCTGCCCAGAGTGCCGAGGCCCCGCCCCACAGCGCCCCGAGCCCGCCCAGAGTACCGAGGCCCCGCCCCACCCGCCTCGAGCCCTGCCCAGAGTTCCGAGGTCCCGCCCTACCCCGCCCCTAGCCCCGCCAGAGTCCCGAGCCCCGCCCCACCGCGCCTCGAGCCCCGCCCAGAGTCCCGAGCCCCGCCCCACCCCGCCTCGAGCCCTGCCAGAGTTCCGAGCCCGCCCCCCCCCGCCCCGAGCCCCGCCCAGAGTCCCGAGCCCCCCCCCCCCCGCCTCGAGCCCCGCCCAGAGTCCCGAGCCCCGCCCCACCGCGCCCGAGCCCCGCCAGAGTCCCGAGCCCCGCCCCACGCGCCTCGAGCCCCGCCAGAGTCCCGAGCCCCGCCCCACCCCGCTCGAGCCCCGCCCAGAGTTCCGAGGCCCCGCCCCCCCCCCCCCGAGCCCGCCCGGATGGGCCCCGCCCCAACCCCGGTCCCGAGCCTCCCGCCCCGAGTCTCAAGGTCCCGCCCAGAGCCCCGCCTGGTGTCCCGAGGCCCCGCCCCACCCCCTCAGAGCCCTGAGGCCCCGCCCCGAGCCCCGCCCCACCCCGCGCTGCGCTACCCACGCGACCTACGCGACCCACGCGATCCAGAGGTCTGTTTTCAAACATCTGGGACCTCTGAGGTGTGCTTGGAAATTGATACCCTGCTCGTGCAGCCATCAAAAGTTATGGAAATGACACCCGTTTTCATCTCCCACCGCCCATGAACTCCTTAAAATGGGATTCTTGTAGTTTTGAGATAGAAAGTAACACAGAATAGAGGCTCGAGGCTGAAGGAAGCACAATAAACAAGCGACAGTATTCAAGTAGGAAACATTCCTATTACTGTTTTTAAAACGAAAATACTCTAAGGTAAGTTTTCAAATACAGTCATTATGGAGACTCAGATTGGCACAGGATTCCTGAAATGCTGAATGACAACGTGCGATTTTCTTTTAAAGTTTGATAAGCTGCCTTCTATTAACACTTTACTTGCAAATGTTGACTATTTATTGTGCAACAAGGCAATGCGTGACAGATTCTTTTCCAGGCATTTAGGTTAGAACTTACAAGACAGCTTTTGGGTTTTTTTAATTAAGCAAAGCAACGCAACATGCTATTTAGGAGAAAGGAATATACATGGAGGAAAAACGGAGAATGGAAAGAAAGAGGAGGAAGAGAAAAAAGAGGGAGGAAGGGAGGAAAGAGCGAGCCTGTTTTGTTTCTAACTACCAGGATGCAAGAGAGCACCGCGGCCAGAGTGCCCAAATCCGAGAAGGTGAGGGGTAGAAATGAGTTTGATATAAAAACTTTCCTCTGGCCTTATGTCTTAGCAAGGATTATAGTTGCTTCATCAGAGCCATCTTTATTTCTGCTTTGTGCATTTCTGCACGTGTGATTTGCTAGCTATTTGGCAGGCGGTCTTAAAGCTGAAAAGGGCGTCTGGAGATGCATCTGACAAGGAGACCCCACCCCTGAGCAGAGGCCAGGCGTCACCCTTGGAGCGCTGGTGCATCTGTCCTTCTCGAAGGAAGGGAGGCTGGAAATTCCCTCTCTGCTCCACACGAGGGCACTCTCTTCAAGGGCACAGACCGTTCTGGAGTCCTGGGCGGGTGAATTGCTGATACCTGCGCATGTGTGGAAAACCAATTCTGGTTTTCTTCTGGTAGGATTCTGAATAAATCCTAACAGAATGCACGCTAAGGAGGAACTGGGTTCCTGTGACATGCATTTCTGACGTCGTTCATTTGACACTTGGCCTTCGCCATCTTATTGAGATTATCTGGTCACATACATGTCCTGTAGCCCAGAACTTAAACTACCAATCATCTGGGGCTCTTGCTAAAAATGCAGATGCTGATTCTGTAGGTCTGGGGTGGGGCTTGAGATGTGCATTTCTAACAAGCCCCTAGGTGGTGCTGATGGGTTTGGAGGACCCAACTTTGAGTTGCAACACTGTAAA